ACGTGGTAATTCCTCGTTCAACAGTATGCTTAAATGATCAAGACAGAATAGTACTAGAGTTAACTGTGAACCCTCTCCATGATGATGGAAATCATGGGATACATTTATTTCTTCAAACTGTGCATCTTATTACAAACTTCACAGATACTCCTTAATGGAAGGTACTGTATTATTATAGTAATGAAGCAAAATATAAGAAGGGAATTATTTGATGGACTATGAGTTATTAACTCACATCCATATATAGATCCTATTTTGGCAGAATCAAAATCAACAGAAACAACATGAACAACAACATATTGGCCTTACTTTACAAAGACCAAGTGTTAAATTGGGCCTATTGTAAACAATAATATCAGTATGTGAACTCTAACTCTGTAAATACCCAAATAAGAAGAGCTACCACCAAACAAGGGCAACAACCATAAAAATGCTCAGACTTATTTTGTCAAGAACACTCCTAACTGTGATGTACATTAATATGTACTAAATACAAATTAGATGCTACCAAAACCAAAACACTCTTTGAGCATGGAGATCCCAGCCTCGGTCATGTCTTCATATGATTGGAGGTGTGTTGGAAGTCTCAGGTGCAGGCTACATGTTGATGCTGTTGGGCGGCACTGACATCCTGGTGTACAATCACCGATGAAACTGACTGAGATCTTCTTAGAAAAACCAAGGGGAGGTACTTGACTGCATCCAGTAATAAATTTCAGAACATCTGTCAAGGAAACCTCATACTTTGACATGCCTGTTGGGTGCAATAAACAATATTGAAAATAAAGCCAAGTTATAAGTTTTTTAATAGGTAGTTGTATTTAAGTCTCACTATGCTAAAATATAGAATACAKCATAGAGACAGAAAATAACCCTCAAAAACTCATTACTGTTCATATTATTAAGGTGCACTGCCAAACAGGTACATCCATTGATAAATAAAATTATATAATACTGGATATGAATAAGTTGAAAGTGGTTTTTATAATWGACCAAATCAGCTAAGGCATTGCTATGTTTGTTTCCATCCCATTCAAAACCTTTGGGAATGAGAATTTTTGTTGCAAAAAATTTCCATGCACAATAGAAAAAAAAGCAAAAAACAAAAAAATCCTTTGGGGGCGGGGGGGGACTCCATTATGAAGGCAGGGATGCATGTCGAAAATTTTGAAAATAAACCCTTAGAGGCACCTGTATTATGAGATGATGGGCGTGGCTGGGATGAAATTTCACCCCTAAGAGGGGCCAATGGGCTTTTGGCAAATGTTGCATGCGTGATGTCATGCCCATTTCTGAATGGTTAAAGCATTTTGGTGTGCAAAACAAATCAATTTTGCAAAAATGCAAATATTGTACCWACAGAAATCGACTTTTAATGACAATTTTTCCAAAATGCAGACCAATACATGGTATTACATTTATGTGTTAGATAATAATTTTGCCCTATGAAAATTCTAAATTTAAGATCCACAGTTTGCCTATTTTCTGTGAATTATACTATTTTTGTCTGTCTGTTTATATTGTTAGTAATTTTTTTGCCCAGTCAGAAGTTGACTGTTTTCTTTTTAATTATACTTTATGGAATTGAGGGTGGGTCAGGGAAAAAGTACAGAAATATTGATGTCATTAAAAAACAAACCCCATCACATGGAAAATTAATGACACTAAAATTATGGGGTTTTCCAAGTTTCAGAAACTACACACTTGTTAGCATGCTTTATAGAAATAAAGAAAAGAGAGAATGTTTTGAGGACAACTTCCCCATGTTTTTTAGATAAGAACTTGTCTTATTTATTAGGAATAATTGGTTCTTATATATATATGGTGCTTTATTGACTACATTTCTGCCTGAAGGTTGTTATGCCACTTGTTCTTATATGTGGGTGTTTACTACACATTATCTGTGTATGATAGTGTACATCTATATCTATACCACCATAGTCTATTTGTGTAATGTTTGTAGCCTGGACAATCACACTGAAAATCAAAATTCTGAAGAAAGCATTTTAACTTCGAATTACCTTCATATTCTATCATGTGAAGGAAGTCACAGAAAGCTTTGTATGTGC